AAGTCAATCATAAAGGCGCAAGCCCAACAACAGTTCCTTAGCACTTTCAAAAGAAGCTAGGTTGCTAAGCTGAGAAACATCTTTGGAAGGAAAATTGCCCTCAAATAAGAAGTTCCACCAAACATAGCACTGCTAAGAATATTTATAAGATGTTTGCTATAAGAGAGAACCAACAGCTTCGTGTCATCTAGATCTTCAATTGATCAGTTTCTCATTTAGCGGGTCATTCTGTGAAAAGCTGTGTTCGTTTCTTTCGCATGTGTTTGCAGCTGTTTGAACTGTTAAGAATATATGCAGATGTGGTTGGGTCACTCAAATCCAATTGTGCTTTTTCTATGTTAGTCAACTGATAAAGAATCTCCTAAAAAAAGTCGGTGCATGGATTAGTACCCATGATTGTGTAGTATTATGCAAGATATGGTTGAGCATTTTAGTTTTTCTGATTAAGAAATAGACATATCCTATGAGGAAGAGATCCCAAATTGATTGGCAGTGTTGTGCGTTGAAATAGGTCTATGTGGTTTTTCTTTATTTTTATTTTTAATCGTTTTTTGTGTGATCTTTTCTAGGGGCCATTTTGTTTGTGATGTGAGGGTATTACCACTGTACTGCTTTTAGGGTAAGTCCAAATGTCCCATCTCCGGTAGCCATTGGAGTAATGACCGGCGATGCTATGATTGGACTTAGAGCAAGATTATTCCATTTCACATCCTGGTAGGAACTGTGGTTCCTATTTTCTTTGGATCCATGGTGTTAATTTCTGGGATTACATATTTCTCTCTGTTTTATTTTTTTAAACGTGTTTTCTATTTAATGGTATACATTACTTGAAGTTTATGAGTACTTAGGTTGCGTTTGATAAGAAGCATTGAAAATGAGGGATTGAGATTGGGATGGCAATTGCGAAAAATCATTAAAATAGTATTTAGTATGAGTAATTGCTTATTATGTGGGATTAGAGAAACCCATAGAAGTGGGATTGGGGAATACCACTTCCCCCTATAGTATTCTCCAATCCAACATATATGGGTTTGGCTAATCTCATATAATAAGCAATTACTCATATTAAATATTATTTTAATAGATTTTCTCAATTGTAATTCTAATCTCAATTCCTCATTTTTAATGTTTCGTACCAAACAGGACTTTAAGTTAAAAGTTGGAATTGTTGGTTGAATACTTTGATGTGAATCTCTGGCTTACGGAGGCTACATACTTAGTATGCTTTTAAGATGGTTTAGAATTTTTGCAAATGTAGATGGAAAGGATGGGTCTGACGAATATACTGTCCACCTACGATAGAGACTAATCTCTCATGTTGTAGTGAGAGCACAAGGCAAATCTCTCCCAGTTAGGTGATTGTATTGATATCGAGGGTTGAAATCGAACCCTGACCGCATGATTAAGGGGGTGTTTGGATACAAACCAAACCATGGTTTCAAAAGTGTTTTTACGAATTACGAAGTAAATATGTAGAGGAGGTTATCTCGTTAAGCGGAAAGGTGCTTCTGAAACCGCGGTTTTGAGAATGTCAAACACCCCCCAAGTGACGAGAGTTCCTACTACTAATGTTAACGTGGCGGTAAATACTACCTCGTTTGCTTAATATAAGATCTAGTAAATTAATTTAAAAATATTAAAAAAATTACTAAATTATCTAATTATAGCATATATTACATGATCTTTCTAAAATATTTTCGTTTATTATTATATTATATATTGATTTATAAATGAGACAAATTAGTTAGAAAAAAATGATAAGTACAAATACTTTAAAGTAATTTAAAGTAATTGAATAATTTTTAAAATTTTTTCAAATTAGTCAGTGGGGGTATGTTATTAAGTAGTATTTTTATTCTTTAGTCTGGTGCAGCTGGCCATCCTAAACTTGTAACGTAAATCATCCCACCTACATGGTTAATTTAATCTTCAGAGAGTAAAATTTCTTCCCGAGTTGCAGACTACTCGTTTATCAATTTCTTTTCCGAAAAATGTGTGATTAAAAAATTCCAGTAAATGTTTTAAGTGAGCATGTGTTACACTTCCTTCTGAGTGAAGGTTGTGATTTCAATCCTATTTATAACTTTAGGCTGCTGAGATCTGTCAAAAATATATTTATACGAAAAGAAAAACAAAGCATCATGGGAAAGCATTGAGACACAAATTTTCTTTGTCCCCCTCATTTCGCATAGCCTATCTCACTTTTCCAAGTTTTCACCACATGGCTTCACTTTGCTTAGTTATGGACTCACCATGACATTATATCTTGTTTGCATTATACACACATACATACATGTAAACATTATCATTCTGAGTTGGCATAATCGTGTACGTGAATATTTTCCAATAGTCAAACAACGTGGCGATGAGTCAGCAAGTTTAACTTTTTCTTTATTTTTGTGAAGCTACAAAAAATTTAATCAATTATTATGCAGCTGGGAACGTTTGTTTCCTGTAAAAAGTAGCATGCCCATGTGATTGTTGAGATTTAATTTAAAATAAGCGGGGTATCTTTTGTGCGTTTATAACTTGTTAGGTTTTTTTTGGGTCAAGCATAACTTAATAGTCTAACCACAATCTTAAATTGAGAATGTTTTGATTTTATATAAATTTATACTTATATTTGAAATTGACTGATATATATATGTATATATATATTTTTATTATATAAGTAGTTTTCTAAAATCAAACATAACGCAGAAAGAGTCTTTTTAAACTTGAGAGAGACCAAAAGAACATTATATTTTAGACGAAGTTTAACTTATATTTTTTGCCTATGAATAAGGTATCTTGCTTGTCTCATATAAATAATACTAATAAAGTAGTATGTTTTATTATAGGTTTTATATTTTACAATAATCAATGGGAACGAGACAATTCATTAATATAACATCATCTTTTTTGTCTGCCAACTAACATAACATGACCAGGCATTATCCTACTTTATTAGTTTATGGGATAATTAATCTCCAGGTCCTTATAGTTTCATCTGATTTTTAATTAGGTCCTTATAAAATTTTTTCTTTTTATCAGATCCTTTTACTTTCATGTGTTTTTAATTAGGTCCTTCTATTTTATTTTCTTTTTATCAGGTCCTTATAGTTTCACTTATTTTTTAATTAGGTGCTTTGTAGTTTTTGAAAAATTATTTATTAACTTTATTCTTTAAAATTAATTTCATTTTTAAATTAATAATTATATAATTGGAAAAAATAATTAATATAATCATTTAGTAATTAATAAATAATCAGAATAATAATTATAAGGACCTGATAAAAAGAAAAAAATTATAAGGACTTGATTAAAATATATGAAAGTATAAGGATCTGATAAAAAGAAAAAAAATTATAGGGACCTAATTAAAAACCAGTTGAAACTATAAGGACTTATATATTAATTATCCCTTAGTTTATTTCATCTTAACAAAGTAGTGAAGCCTTTAATTATTATTGGGTATAGAATTTGAGAAAATAAAAGGAAACCTAGGTATACAACAGGCTAAAGGTGATTTGAGAAAATAGAAGGAAACCTGTTTGTGTGTGTGTAACAGGCTAAAGTTGATCTCTCCCTTGGTGCACTTTATTCTTACCTTCCTCTTCAAAGAAAGAGCCATGCTAGCTCGTCAAGACTTTTTTTTTCCGGTGTATCAAAAAAAAAAAAGCTGGCTAAGATTTCAATTAATTAACAAGTAACAACCAACGTTTGTTATTAAAAGAAAAATAGTTAAAAAAAAATTATTTCTCAAAGATATCTAAAAACTCAGGTTTTTGAGTGGATACAATTTATCTTTAGCAGGCATAATTTTTTTTCCTACTTGTGTACCATATTTTTAGCTATATGCAAACGTATTCTATTTCATATATTGTTAAAGATAAGTTACACATAGTTAAAAAAGACTTACATCCGCTGAACATAAATTGTACTAAGGTTCTTAAACATATTTCAAATTCTTTTAGATAATAAATGTTGGAATGGAGGATTTTTTTTTTAAATCAATTTTCTCGCCATTAAATCAAATGGATGCATAAAAGAAAACTAATGAAAAAAAGTATAGTGATGATTCAACTTTTTAGAGGTGAGCATCACAGAAGTGGGGCCTCCATCATGTGTATATCATTTTTGTTACTTTAAAGGAAATCACTTCGAGAATCCTAACTTATTTTAACATTCATTGTAATTTTATTTATTTATATGTTGGCAAAAAAAATTTTTATACATTTATATGGTATGAAGAAGTATGATAATAAATTTGGGGAAAAGAAATTTATTGGTTGATCAAGAGAGACTAATAGACCAAAAAGAAATTGAAAAGAAACAAAAGGGTGCAAGAATACCCATAAGTTTTTGACTGAAGTAACCCCACTGTCACAAGTTTTTCGAAAATATAAAACTACCCATAAAGTTGCAAAATCAGAGGAAAAATGACAGCGTTGAGTTTGTTTAATGATTGTCACTTTTTGTGATATGGGCTACACTAATAGCCTATCCCTTAGTGGTTTAGGATCCAAATCTGGGGATTAGTTTTTTTACGAAGCCAATGTGAGATAGTTAAAAAACTCTTACAAAATATCAAAATTATCCGTAATAAATGTCATTAGTTCGAGCCATTTGTTTAATCAGTTAAAAAGTTTTATAATTTGCTCGGGATATAGGATAAAAATATTGTTACTTTAAATAAAACCTGTTTTATATTAAGGACATGTTAGAAGTACTTGTAATAACGATCATAGAAAATATAAAGTTTGACAAGCCATTTGATTTGAACCCAAAAAAAAAAAAAAAGTAGTCTGGATTTAATTAAGGAAAATGGATGGAAAGAGATCATATTCATAATTAGAACCAAATAGGACACAAAAGGGGCTACGTGGTTTATACCGAGAGCAACTTAAATCCTTCAGAAGATGCTTTGCGCTACCAATAATTATGTGTATTAATATTTCCTTCATATTTTCTCTCTTCACTTTTTTGCATAATCACCACGAGAAAATCAGAACTCCAATTCAAAAATGAGGTTGGGGTCGTCGTCTTGGAAGAAATGGCCCAGCTGGAGGAGGAGATGATGAACTAGAGCTGTCTGGTTGATAGGATTGAAGAATGGTATACACGGTCTGAACAATAGTCAACACAAACAGAAATATTGCAGCAGCAAGAGACAGAATCGCCCATGGATTCCTGAAGTAAGTTTCAATGAGATTAGCTCTCCACTTATTCCATGGCTTCTTGCAATATCTACACACACTCACTTGCACTATATCCAGACCTCCTCCTCCGCGATCAACAGAAACATCCCTAGACAGTGAGTTAAAAAGCTTGGCCACAGCTTTATCACTTCCTAAAGCATTCTGTACAATCCCTTTTTGCTCCAAAATCACCACGTCAATCTCCTTGTCGATGATGTTATCCATGAAGAAGACAAATGAAGAAACCTCGTTGCCTGCTCCTACATGCATGCGTTCGAATGCTATGAGGTTCAACAACGTTGTCTCTGTGCAGTCATCGAGTATTATTGAAGGGATTCTGAGGATTCCGCCATTGAACGAGACATCTTTGAGGCTGTGGGTTCTGCTTGGCTTGAAGGTGATGCCAGCTTCTTGAAGCTCTCTTGCAGAGGGAATGATGATTTCGTCGTCTTCTTCGTGTGTGTTTGATTTGATTGGTTTGGGAATGATTGTGGGGTGAGTGGGTTCATGTTGAAGGAGCGATTTTCTGTAGAGATCTAAGATGTGCAAGGATTTGCCAAAGCTTTTGAAGATTGGAGTTGTGCTGGGCCAAAAGAATTTGAGGATTAGCCTGTTCAACAACTCTGGATCCTATAATATAGTAATGGAACAAAATGAAAATGAAAGAGATTTGTGAATATATAAATCAATTTCTTTATTTTAACAGAAAGTGTTAAAATAATTATTTAAAAAGCTATTCGAGTCAGGTGAATAACTTCTCAATTGAGGATCGTTTTAAATAACTGATTACTTGACAATGAAGATGAGAATCTTTTGGCATAAATAAGAAAGAGCTTGTATTGCTCAAGCTCATCCTTTCTTTCTTTGTTGTTGTTGTTTTTTTTTTTTTTTGGGTCACAGTTCCTCAAACCAATCTATTTGAAATCATTTATAGCCTTTAAAACAAAATTTGGATCTCTCAATCTCAATTACTCAAGTAATAAGAAAAGGGATGGAGACAGAGTGGGACGCAGGTGACAATAATAGTGACAGATAGATCTTATTTCTGCTTGCATCTTTCCCACGCTTGATTAATTGTTAAGTAATTAAGAAAATCCAAAATCCACATGGCACTTCTCTTTATCAAAATGACATAATACAAACATCATAGTTAAAAATGATTTTGCAGTGACAAAAACATCAATCCATATCATTGTTTCTCACAAATTGTCACTAAAAAGTCTCTTGGTGAGGTTAAAATGTTGTAGCAGAAGAGTTGTAGAGAGACGAAACTGGTTGAGTCAACCAGCGCTAGTAAAAGCAAATGAATTAAATATAAGATACAATTTAACTTAATTAAAAATGCCCTAAACATATATAAGATAAAATCCACAATTAAATAAATACCTGGGCTTGGTTTCCCTCAAATTCGATCAGTTTCTCAAGAACCATCATGGGAATCTGATTCTCAAGCATAAGCATATCACGTTTGATATAGGGTATAGTATAGAGTCTTCCATGGCAACTGAAAATAGGATCATTCTGTGCATAATCACCATTATTATCGCAAAATGCAAATCTGAGAACTTCAAGCATGAAACACCCATCAACAATTATCATCTTCAAGAAGCTATGACCATTATTATTCTCGTTCTTGTTCTTCCATTCCAGTGGCTTGTAACAATCCCTCAAGTCGTCTTCCACTTTGGCCATAGTTTTGATCAGCGACTCTAATGGCTTAGCACACCTTCTCAGAAAGTGAATCAGAGCTCTTTGCTTGTGCTCTTCCATGGCTACCAGATGCTTCTTCATGTGGTGATATGGACCAAACGACACCGTTTGAGGGTTGTAAACCTTCTTGTTCAGGTCTGCAACACAGGAAGGAATTGCATAAATGCAATGCTTCTTCCATTTTTGAATCTCCATTGAAGAAGCTTCGTGGTTCTTCAGCTTCTCGTTGATTTGAACCACCCACTGATCAGTTTCAAAATCCATTTGTTTGATGGCACAGTTGCTCTTTCTTCTTTGAATCTCTTGAGATGTGTTTATAGTGATCTCTTTGCATGTAAAGAACGAAACTTGTATTCTTCTCTTGAAACAAATGATTAAATTAATGTATTCATGATTTATTAATCTACTTTACGTTCTATGATTCCTTACTTGCCACTTGCTGGTTGTTAATTATTAATTGGATTCTTAGCCGGTAAGATGAAGATAAGAATAAGTTTACCAGCTGCCCTATCTAGCACTCTATATACCAAGTTTCTCTTTTATTTTGTGATCTTGGAAGCCCAAAAAGAATTAAAATTCTCGTTGTTTTGTTTTTTTCGTGGTTGTATGAAATAAAATAGAAGTACTCTGCGTAATATAACAATTCATTAATACTAATATAATACTGTAATACATGAAGTGAAACTCTATATGTATATGTATAATCGCTGGGGTAAGGAAACTAAATAATCAGACACCATTCTAATTTATTTCATTCCAAAATCAAAGGCAATGAACAGGTTAGTTCTTTTGGGTTTTCGAAATTCAGAAAGCATTAAGGATAACTTGGTATATAAAAATGCTAAAAACGGCCTTTAATTTCGGCGGCTAGTGAACCTGTTCTTAACTTGGCGTTAGAAAAAAGAGTAGAGCGTCCAGGGCTAAGAATCCATTTAATTTGGAACCAACAATCAGCAAGAAAGGAATTTTAGGACGTAAAATAGATTGATAAATTATGATTATATTAAATTAATCATTTACTTGAAGATGAGAGAAGAGCACAGGTTTATTTTCTCTCTTCACAAGGAAGGAAGAAATTAGAGATCGAACAAATGGATTTTGTAAACAGATGAGTGGGTGGTTCAAATTAACAAGAAGCTGAAGAGCCATGAATCTTCTTCAATGGAGATTCAAGGACGGAAGAAGCATTACATTTATGTAAATTCAGACCTGAACAAGAAGGCCTACAACCCCTGGCCAAACGGTGTCGTTTGGTCCATACCACCACATGAAGTAGCTAGCATCTGGTAGCCATGGAAGAGCACAAGCAAAGAGCTCTGGTCCTCCACTTTATGAGGAGGTGTTGGAACTCCTCATTAAAAGTATGACCAAAGCGGAAGACGACTTGAGGGATTGTTACATGCCACTCCAATGGAAGAACAAGAAAGAGAATAATGATCATGGCTTCTTGAAGATGATGATTGTTGATATGGGTGTTTCATGCTTGAAGTTCTGAGATTTGCAGATTGTGATAATGATGGTGACTATGCAGACAACGATCCTCTTTTTAGTTGCCATGGGAGACTTTGTATCATATTTTGTCGCACTTTTTAAAAGTAATTCTTTTTAAAAGTAATTTTATGTGTATGAGGTAAGTATATGAAAAGAGCTATACATTGATTTATGTTTTTTCTTTTGCCAAATATACATTGATTTATGTGAAAACACTTATTTTAGGTGATATTGGAGTTTGTCAAACTCCCCCATGTGGAGTGCTCAAACAAAAGTTGCCAATGACCGGAAAAAGTGTTATTGTTATTTGCTAAACAAAAAATATTGATACCTATATAAACGTTGTGAATGACTTGAAAAAGCCACTTTATTACTTGCTAAATAAAAATTATTAATACGCATTAAAATATACTCAATATATTCACAAAAACTTATACTTAAAACTTAGTCTTTAACATATAAACATATATATATTTGCATTATATTAATAGTGAAATATTGGTGGCCTGATAGTCCTTTTTAAATTTGGCACAACTACCCGGCAGTGATGGGATCAAATTCTACCACAAAACCTTTTTATGCAAAAAGCTCTAAGAGAGGTACCCATATTCAGTATTTGACAATGTCTCAAATAGGATTACGTCAAATAGAAGGATACCTATGCCTACAAAAAAAAAAAGCTCTTTATAGACTGCCAGATCAAAAATTAAATTCTCTATATATGGTCCTTATTACAAGTATTTTTAACATGTCCTTCATATAAAATATGTTTTCCTAATCATTTTTGTAATCTTACAGTCGTAACAAATTATGAAACCTTTTGACTTCTAATTGTTGTGAATATAAGTGGGTGTATCAAGAGTAAAATGTCATATTGCTCAAGAGAGAGGAGATTCAAGTGTATATAAACTATCTCACATTTTTAGACTAGTGAATGGACCTAGAGGAGAAGAAGAATCTTGGGCGACGGTCCGATGGAAAAAAACTCAGTTGAAAACTGGCAATTTTCCCCTGGTACACAAGTTAAGAAAGTACTTGGCGCTTTTTACAGAAAACTTTTGCAAATGGGTTAATGCTTGCTAACGTCTAGAAAATCAATTTTGAGTACCTCTAAAGTTTACAACTGAAGGTTTAAATAGTGTTTATTGTGTCAATGTCTGAAACCAAAGATTTAATCGTGTTTATTGTCATACGTGTGGTGTCCAGCATCCAAATGCTCCGTGGCCCTATATAAAAGGATTTGGGACTTCGGTACACTGGCTCTTGAGTTTTCGAGCACTCATCCTCTCCCCTACGATTTTCTCCTCTCATTCCTTTGCTACTGAGTTACATCTATAGTTTTGTTGTTCTGTCACCTTGTTTGCTGTAAGAGGGGCTTGTTTAATCCTGGACAACATCTCATCGACTTTACCTTCGGTGAGGAATAACTCTTAAGGGTAGTGTCCCTACCACGATTTTGTGTCTTCAGCACGATTCCAACCAATTCACTATCCAGTTGTTTCAACGATCTTCTAACACTAATTAAACAAATGATTCCAACTAGTCACATTTGTTGAGAAGCAAATACAACATGCAACTTTTGAAGTGAGTAGGGTGACAAGCTAATTCTTCAATGCTAGCTAACAGAAAATGATATATATTCCCTTGAATGAGTTTGGCTACTCATCACTCTTGATGAGAATTTCAAACTCATCAGATCTAGACAGTATAGATTTGATCTAGATAATCCAATTTTTTTAAAAAAATAATTATTTTAATGGGTATAGAATAAAATAATTTTTATTTAAAAATAATTAATTAAAAATATTAATTTGGACGGCCCATATTGCTTAGGATATTAGGTGTCAATTTCTTTCCTTTGTGCTAAATTTGGAGCAAGGAACAGGCAAAAACTACTGCCTTAAAAAAAAAAACTCATTACGTCATAAGATATCAACGTTGGATCTGAATCTATTGAAAATTCTACAAATAAAACGAATGCATAACTTTCTATCACTATTTAAAATCCTATTTTAAAAAACTAAATTTTCTTCTGTGATGTGATTTAAATTATACTAGCTTCTTAATATAAGAGCTAGTTGACTAATTTGAACAGATTAAGAAAATTAGTTAAGTTAGTTATTTGTAATAAATAGATTTGTGTTTTCTAAAATATCCTTGCTAGTAATATATATTAGCTAGAAATAGTTAATTACTATTCGATAAAATTTTTAACATATGTAACGACTACAAAACATGGATAAATATGAGATACAAAGTAAATTAGGATTTTATATTTAAGACCAAATTGAATGTCAAATTAATTCTTATATTAAGGATAAGAGGTTTTTAAATTATCCTCTGGCCTTTTTTTTTTTAAGTTTTTCAGATTATATATTTTTAATAACTAGTCATCCTATTTCATATCCTTTCATATCCTTTACCCCTTAATTATACTCAACTAAAACTCACCCGTGTCATTTATCCAATCCTTTTTTCTTAAGGTGGCTTCGTTAACAATAAGTCACGTTACTATGTATATCGTGATTAATGTAATTTCATATGGATTTTATATTTTTAAAAATGGATATAAATTTCATATTTTATGGTGAACTTCTTGAGTTTTAGAGAGAAAATAATCACAATAATAATAAGGTTTGATCATCCAAACGCTTCAATCTTTTATTTTATGAAATAAATTACAATTTTTAAATATAAATAATTAATATTTTATAGATTCACATACAATGCAGAGAATTCTAATAAATTAAAGAAATAGTTAAAAAAATTAAATTACTTGTTCGTATGGAGAAATTAATAGAGAATTCATATATATTAACATTCTACCTCATTTTATTTACAGAGTTATATAGGGCCACGTAGGGATTATAGTAAAGGACCAAAAATTTATATAATCCTTTAATATAATTAATTTTATTTTTTAGTACAGGAGCATCGCAAATTTTTCAATCACATTTGTTGTCATTTGATTATGTAAAAAGATTAAAATTTAATCATGCTTTGTCAACATTTAATTTTTGAGTTACCATTTAAATTTTCGAAAATATTTAACAGGGTTAAGATTAAGAGGCGGAAAATATAATTTTAAATTTAAGGGACTAAACTAAATCTTATGTGAAATTAGCGGACCAAACTTATATTTTAGCCTATCTTTTCTAAATCATAAATTTTATTTTTAAGAAAAGTGGCAATTAAAGATAATTTATTTTAGAATTTGCGTATATTAAAATTAGAAACATATTATAATAGAATAATAAAATAAGGGGAAACTAGTTTGGAACTTCTTATAATTTTTATTAGTTTGGAATCAGGTCTTTGCAATTTTTTTTTCTTTTTATTAGATCCTTTAACTTTCTCCTGTTATATAGGTCCATTAATCCCTACAGTTAAATAAGACAAACACTGTTATAACTTTCCATTAAATCTTCTCCTCACCCACCCCCATTTGCCCACTTCACTGTTCCTTCCATGGTAAATATCATTAGGTAGTACATTGAGTATGTTTTGCAAAAATTATAGCATCTGGTTTGGTTCAGGTTTGAAGGCCAAGAAGGAAATGTGTTCCTGGGTCATGTCCATATAGCTCACAAGGGTAGGGGAGGAACACAGGGAATGAAGGCGAAGCAAAAAAAGAGAACAAAGCAAAGAACCTCAAAATGGGGGTTTCATACAAAGTTCATTTCTTTGAACTTGAATTACTAAAATAGAATATTCAGAGTCCAGACTAAGGGGAAGCAAATTTGAGATAAGAGGATCGCAGAAAATAGAGGAACAAATGAGAAATAAACTAAATCCAACAATAAAGTAAAGATAAATTCTATAACTAGCATGGATTCAATTTAAGAAACCATTTAAAGGTAGAGAGACTTGTGCAGATCCAGTATTAAAAAACATAGAAGGAAGAAAGTGGAAGTGTGGAAGTATATAAGATGAACAAGTGGGATGCAGCTGGAATTCGAGGTGTTTTCACAAGTTTGATGGACGAGCTCATACTACTCATATCAGTGAGGTCATGAGGACGGCAAGGAAGGAGAAGATGTTGACGGAAAGTTATCATGATATTTGTCTTGTTTAACAGTAGGGATTAATAGACCAAATAGGAGAAAATTAAAGGATCTAATAAAAAGAAAGAAAACCATAAGGACCTGATTTCAAATTGACAACAATTATAAGGACCTCCAAGTTAGTTTCCCATAAAATAACGTGAAATCTACACATTTCAACCTTTTCATTTATCATATCAGTATTAACCACAACTTATGATAATATAAACAAAACTTAACCAACGAATTTTAACGTTAAAACAAATTTGAATATCATATATTTTGCCGTCTTCTAGCTTTATTATCTTAAAACAATTAATATTATCAATATATGCAAATTCACCAGAATTTTTTATGTTTGTAGAGTGGGTCCCTGAGGATCAATGTGTAGATTTCAACCCTCTCTTTTTTTTTTTTTACCATAAGAACAATTAGACATCCAAGCCGTGATCTTTCTATTAGTTAATGAAAAAGCCCAATACAAAAAAACTTTAGAACAATTAGAAAATTACAAAACTGAAACCATTCGTTTTCCACCCACAGAATTTAAAGAACTTAAAGAAGGATATACGCAATCTTTGGTCTTTATCCAATTCAAAAATCAAACAAGAAAAATTGAAAGTTTATCGTAGAAAACCAAACCAAATATAATTTTAAATTCCTAATCCAGCTCTATATATAATCCTAGACACTCGTGAAAAAAAATTCTGTTTCTTTTAGACTTTTCCAAAAGTCACCATGGAACAAGAAGCTCACGATGAACAAGAAGCAAGAATTATTATAGAATAAGCAGCTTCAACCATGGATCCTCTTCAAGATCAACCACCACCAAAAAACCTAGACGAAGTTGAAGAGATTCTTGGATACAACTTCAAGAATAAATGTTTATTGGAAGAAGCTTTCACACATTCGTCTTATTATTATACTACAGATAATAATTACAATGAAGCTGAGATAAAATGCTCCTCATTTGAGCGTTTAGCGTATTTGGGAGACGCTGTACTTAATTTGTTGGTCACCAAGGAGCAGTTCTTCTTGTATTCAGATTTTTCTTCGGGTCAGTTGACCCGGCTCCGAGCTGCCAATGTTGACACCGAGAAGCTTGCACGTGTGGCTATTGAGCATGGGCTACATTATTATTTATGCCACAAGACACGTCTTCTTGAAGAACGGGCATGTTAATTTTTCAAATATTTGTTTGATTTTAAACTCGTTTAGAATAATTTATAAGTAACTTTTCATTTATAATTTATAAAATATAAAATAAGCATGTAAGAGGAGTTTATTTCGACTTATGTGAACTGTGTTTATAAGTATTTTTAAACTCAAACAAGCTTTTTATTAGTTAATAGTTACTCAATATACCATATTCGAAATTGGATTGTTTTTAAAGTGAATTTATGGGATTAATCTTTTTCTTTTTTCCAAATCTTTTCAATTTTTAATTTTTCTTTTATTTTAAAAAATATAAGCTTTTACTTTCAGGAAATCTAAATTTGTAATATACCTGAGTTTGATTAGTTTTTACTTGAACTTTTATTTGTTTGAGTCATTTTAAAATTGAGTATATATGGTTTATTTAGTTAAAAATTAAAATAAATGATTTATGTGATGGAAGCAGGTAAATGGTTTCAAAAAAGAGATATTGGAGTATCCAATTCATTCGAATGAGCTTGTAGATGTTCCGAAGTGTCTTGCCGATTTAGTGGAATCCATTATCGGAGCAATCTTCATTGATTCTGACTCCAACGCTGACATTGTGTGGCAGGTATTAATTTTCCCCTTTCCTTTTACAATGTCTAATTATAGTTTATTATGTGCATATATCATATAATATAAATTATATATATAATATTTATTGATGAACAAATGTGACAGATCGACGGCTTATCATATGAAGGGCTGAAGTAATAGAACATTAGAACGTATGAAAACTTGGTGCCGGTTCTAACCATCTGTATTCCTTTTTACGAATAAATAAACACATAAAAATTATCTATATATCAACATTGTTGGATTTAGTAAAAAAGAGTTAATCTCTACAATGTAGTAATCAATGTTCAAATTCTTGCTAGAAAAATATCCAAATTTAGTACTTCACTGTGTTTCGAATATAATTGCCACAAATAAGAGAATGCTTGTGAGCAATAAAAGAAATAAATGAATTATATTATTTTTAATTTTTATTAATACTATCTGCAATTATTACTATAAAAGCTAGATAACTAATTTAGAAATATTAAGAAAATTAGTTAATTTGGTTATTTATTATAAATATGTATTGGTTTTTCTAAACTATCCTCTTTAATCATGTGCATCGGATGATTAGAATTATTTCTTGATAGGAGCCCTATGCAATCAATAGGGATATTTTACAGAAAGATAAAAGACAAAATAAATTGAGATATTATATTTAGGATCAAATGCAACTCTTCAAGTAGTTCTCATATTAAAGACTAGAGGTAGTAATATAAAAACAAATATTATGTATATCATGTTAAAATAAATATTTGATAGATTATTTAAATTGATCGGGCAAAATGAAAGACATGAGATGTTTTCACAGGTTTTTAGACGTTTGTTGGAGCCATTGATAGATGCAGAAACTCTAAAGACACATCCAGTGACAACAAAGCTGTATCAAATTTGCCAGAAACATAATTTGAAGGTTCAATTTAAGGATTCATGGGAGGATTTAAAGGCAGGGGAGGTTCTGGTCAATAATGAATGGGTTGGAATTAGTGGCGCTTGTCGTTCCAAAAAAGAAATCGCTTTTAATAGTGCTGCACAAAATGCTCTCAAAAACATTCCAACTATTTTGAGTATTAAACTCAATAATTCAACTTTGGATGAAATTGTGGATTAAATATTCTCGTGTACTTTATGTTCTTCCATTTCACATATATCAAATCATGCATTCCATGCGCATTGTCCGGTATATATATGCATTAACAAATTTAGTCTCATATTTTTACTCCATCACACTATGAATAATCTGCCAAAAAAAAAAAACCAACCAAAACTGGTTTAAATATTACTTCCTTCATTATTTATAAAGTCATTTTAACTAAATTATGTTATTTAAGAAAATAGTTAAAATTAGCTAAAAGCAATAAACATGTGAAAGTTAAACTTTTGTTAAAATTATATTCATATTTAATAGGGAAAATTTCGATTAAGGACCGTAGATGGGAATTAATTTCAAACAACCCCCAAAAAATCTGAAATTTCAGTTAAGGATTCTAAAATTTTAATGAAGGACCCAGGGGGCAAACTGAAATTAATTGCTGAAGTCATTTTATTGAAATGCCCTGTGAGCTGCATTTGCTGAAAAGGAAGAGGAAAGAGGGAAAAAGAAGAGCTTGGTGTGTAAGGTAAACCATTTTTCCCAAAATTTTTGTTTTGGTGGGCATAGTTGGGTTGTGATAGTTGAATAATGTAAAAATGAGTGTTTAAATGCATGGGTAAGTAGGTAGTGAGGGAGAAAAAAAAATCTGATATAGCTTTTAAGTTTAGAGAGAGATTGTTATCTTCTTCTTTGAAGTTAATAAACATGAGGTGTTAGTGATTTTTGAAAACTAGGTGAAAATGGGTGAACACTGACTGTAATATGTTGTTGAAGGAACTTAGGAAAGGAGAACTGAAGGAAAATGGGTGAATGTGCTGAAATGGGTGATATGAAAATGAAATGTACAAAAAAATGGTAACTTGCAGTTGTGAAAATATGTATTCGGATTGTAAATTTGCAAATTAAAGTTGTGCAAGAAAATGAAAATTTAATGTTATGAAAACTGATATTTCTGTTGTAAACCCGCAAATTCCTGTTGTTAATGCATACTGTCTATTATTATTGAAAGTTTATTAAAATTGATAGTTGAATGATGTGCAGCAACGGATTATAAATGGCTACTGGTGGCAGGAAACAACTATTTTGCATCTTCTATATGGGAGGAAAATTTGTGAAGACCTTAGAAGAAAAATTAGTATATGAAAGTAGTATTATAAGTAGAAGATTGATCAGAAAAGGGATGATATATGAAGAACTACAAAGCATAGTAACAAATGATGTTTGGCCAGGCAGTGGTCAATATAAAATGAAGTATATATAGTCCATTTGAACAAGAAAACATTTTTGGACCTTATCGATGATAATGAAGTAGGACAATTAATTGAGTACAACGATAATAGTTGGCATGTTTATGTTTACAACAATGAGAAAGACTTGAGGCAAGCGTCACAGTTGGACAGTGCACAAGAGTAAGTGGACATATTTGGTGGTGGTTGTAATCTTTTTCGTATAATGAATTGATAGTTGAAATATTTCATGATTGTACGTGACGACAAGCTATCCCAAGTTCTGTACTAAAATTGGCTAGTAAAACTATAAATGTATGAAAGATTTTGTCCATTTATGAATGGATATATTTCTATTGTTAATTAATGTATTTGTTTTTGCAAATTCTCTAATTCCTATTGTAAGGCACGTATCATTTTAGCACATTTCCTATCTCCTGTTGCTAATTACGTAAGTCCACTTATGAATATACGAGTTCCTGTTCTAAATTTTCCAATGCCTTATACAAATTGTCTAAACCTACTCGTGAACATACTTGACAGACTCTAGTGTGATGGTTTAGCTATATTTAAAAAAACACTTGCAAAAACAGGAGCCCCTATTGTAAACTTAGCTATTATTAATTGTTGCAAATTTCCTAATTCTAGTAGTCAACATTTGCACTCAAAGTATGAAATTTGTGGGGGGAAATATATTATCATTTCTAGACATGTAATAAACACATAATATATAGTTCATTGCACTAAAAATGAAATTGTGGGCAATCCTTATGCATGAAAATTGACACATCCTTTGCTAATATAAAATACATCTTGAGTTGACAGATCCCTCTTCAATTTTCTCTTAGTTGTGTATGTATCTTTGCAAGTAGTTGTACAACAACTACCAACCGTGTATTTCTTGCATGAGTAATGAGCCATCACAGCAAGTCTAACCTCAGGGAACTAAGTTCTTTCTATTGCACAACATTAAGAACCATCAAACAAGGGACACAGTGGACTACAAGATTGAAATCTCAAAATAATACATTCATAGATAAGCACTTAATCAACTCATACTTCTGCAAAATAGTTGTTTTCCACCACCAGTAGCCCTTTATAATCCGTTGCTGCATATCATTCAACTATCAATTTTAATCAACTTTCAATAATAATAAACAGCATGCATTAACAACAGGAATTTGCAAGTTTACAACAACAATATCGGTTTTCATAACATTAAATTGTCATTCTCCTGCACAACTTCAATTTACAAATTTATAATCAAATACATATTTTCACAACTGCAAGTTACTATTTTTCTACACATTTCATTTTCATATCACCCATTTTAGCACATTTACCCATTTTCTTTTCAGTTCTCCCTTCCTAAATTCCTTCAACAACGTATTACAATCAGTGTTCACCTATTCTCACCCATTTTTTAAAAATCACTAACACCTTATGTTTATTAACTTCAAAGAAGAAGAAGATAACAATCTCTCTCTAAAGAAGAAGAAGATAACGATATCTCTCTAAACTTAAGAGCTATATCATATTTTTTTCTCCCTCACTATCTACTTACCCATACATTTAAACACTCATTTCTACATTATTCAACTATCACAACCCAACTATGCTCAATAAAACGAAAATTTTGGAAAAGGTGGTTTACCTCACATACCAAGCTCTTCTTTTTTCCTCTTTCTTCTTCCTTTTCAGCAGATACAACTCGCAGGGTATTTCAGTAAAATGGCTTCAACAATTAATTTTAGTTTGACCCCTGGGTCCTTTAGTTGAATTTCAGAATCATTAACTGAAATTTCAAATTTTTTTAGGATTGTTTAAAATTAATTCCTATCTGCGGTCCTTAATCTAAATTTTTCCTATTTAATAAGAGAGCAAATAAGAAAAAGAAATACTAGTAATAAAATAAAGGATGAAAAAGAATGTAGTATGAAAAAAAAAAAAAAGAGAAGAGAGAATTAAAAAATTAATTAAGAGCAAAATTGATAAAAATAAATTTAATGTTCAAACACTTTTAAGCAGGATCTTATAAAAAAGATGAGAGGGAGTAGTATTTAATACTGTTTGCCAGAAAATAAAGTAATTCAATAAAACTTCATCCACGCATAAATCAAACTGATATAAATCAGTAAAAGAAAGTGAGCCAAGCTGAGAATATTATTTATTTATTCATTCTGAAAATGACACAGCACCTTCGAACCTGCGAGGCCTGGAGGTCAAAAAAGGACCACAAAAACCGCCGTTGCCGGGGATCGAACCCGGGTCGTCCGCGTGACAGGCGGAAATACTTACCACTATACTACAACGACTTGGTTATTTAGGCGTGACTCTGCGATGTTAGTCCTTACATAATTCCGCCATCACCATATTTGGGAACTATATATTCTCATGCACGAGGTATAGCAACATTATAAATGATGACAGCCTCCATTTCTTTTGTTAGCATGACACTCGAAGATGATGATCCCCTACTTGGCGAAGAAACAGTGCACTTACGTTCCATTCTTTCTACTTCAGGCTTGATGAGCCTGTAGCCTCGTAATATCCCATAAACCCAATAATGAACCCTAGAGGGGGGTGATGAAAATAAGCATATACATTTGAATCCGAATGGGTGACTGCTTAACCCACACAAAACCGGATGATAGATGTTCAGTTGCCTTCGGGTGCATGTGTGCAAGAAAATAGAGAGGCTTCAGAGGGAGTGTGTGAACAAGGCTTCAATGGGAAGGCTGGCATAGAACTTACTGGTTAAACCTGACAATGTCTGTTCCATTGTGTTAAGAGAGAGAAGCCTGGGTGGAGGGCCGATTTATTTAAAGAATGTGCTGTCAAAAATTCCGACTTCGAGTCTGTGGAAATGTTTTATATAGCTGGCATGTGGAGTGAGACACCTGCTCAAGTAGTATATGGGAGTGTTGTGGATCTTTGGGCTGATGATCTTTTCGAGGAAGGAGGCCATTGGGGCGTAGCTATTGTGGTGGTTGGCTGGGTGGCTCCACCACAAGGATGGTTGAAGCTCAACTTTAATTTGTTGGAGCTGTGAAAGGAGAGATGGGTTCAGCAAATCTACGGGGAAGGGAACAAAGGGGAAAAAATCTGAAGCTACACCCAAAAGAAAGTGGCAATTTTCAATGACTATATCCTTCTTTTTCTTTTAAGTTACAACCAGCCAATCAGGAATTCAAAAAGGGCAAAAATGACTACATTTCCAGCGTTATAAACTATGACAGCCTCCATTTCTCTTGTTGAGCATGGCCCTCGAAGAAGATGATCGCCCACTTGTGGCGAAGAAACAGTCACGTCCAATGCTTTCTCTAACTGGCTCATAAACCCAATGATCCCAAATGAAAGCTTTGAAGAGGACGAATATATGTGGGTGAAGGAAATAAACATACGGGTCGGGGATGTTAGCTGCCCCTTAATTTTGGGTTCTTTCTAAATATTTTTGTTTACTGTTATTTTCAGTATTAGTTTCTACATAAAATTAGTGGTATTTTAATATTTTATTTATAAAAAATTGTTCAGTTTCTAATTTTTTATGATTTTTTAAAAATTTAATACTCTAAGTTAAAAAGAAATTGAACGGTTTGAAAGTACGTTTATTTTCTTTGGTGATGGGCTTTCTATCTCACTTAATTCTTCCCCAAGATCTTGGATATGATGTGGGGGCAGAAGATCGAGACAGATGGCCCATTGATACGTCGAATCTCCATGAGAGCATTTCTATTCATCGGGTTCATCTTCGGTGCGAAGCAGTATTAATAGTTTAATACATACACACAACCTCATGGGAATCTTCACGAGCAGGAAGTAAATATCTTGAGAAAAACAAGTGGAAATAATAAGTTGTAATTAATTGTTGAAAAGTTAGCTGGAAGCTAGGACGTGAAACTGAAATATAGAAAAGGTATAAAATCCTTCATAATACTAGTACTTCCTGTATTGGAAAACGAATTCAAGTTTGTTTGGCCAATAAAATTTCGAAACATGAACTTTTCACCGATTTTTCCAAAGTTGTAAACTTTCAAAACTACCCTCAACAAAAATTAGTTATTTGTAATAAATAGGTATTGTATTTCCTAAAATATCATTACTAATTATGCGTATTAGTTAGGACTACCATTTAATAAAACTTTTAACATATGTAACTATTGCAAGGACTATCTTGAAAAAATAGATAAATATAAGAGACAAAGTGGAGTGAAATTTTATATTTAGAATCAAATTAAAAATCAAACTAGCTTTTCTATTAAAGACCATGGATAGTAACTAATGTGGATAAATTAAGGATCTTAGTTAAATTAGTTAATATGACATATTTTTTTTAATACACCCTAAGCATCTTCCTTAGTTCCCTCACTCCCTCTCCTACTTGATTATTGTTGGGAGAATATCAATAGGGTCAATTTGAAAAAAATTGATAGTTCTTATAAATAGGACTAACATTAACTCTAATTAGCTCCTATACTAAAGATAAGAAGAATATTAGTTAGATATGAGTTTTTGCTTAATTAGTGAGGGGTATTAGGTGAGAAAAATTTAACGTGTTGGATAAAGCATGTTATAACAAGTAGTGTTGGAAGCTGTGAGGTGGATATAATGCAACACGAAGAGCGATTCAAGAGACCTAGCTAATACGTACGACGCATCATTTCAAAGCTTGTTGTTGATGAAGGACTTGGAGCACCGAGCACTATCATGATTATTCAGAAGCATATATAGACAACCATTGAGCATGCATAGCTATTGAGAATGTCTCCAAGTACTTGAGTGTCATTTCTTGATGCTATCTTAAACTTGGCTAAAGGGGTGTTTGGGTATTCTCATAAGTACTTTTTAAAAGTATTTTTTCATAAATCGAGATAAACTCCTTCACATATTTATTTCATATTCTGTAAAATTATTTCTAAAATCATAGTTTTGTTTCTATCCAAATACTCCCTAAGTAACTAAAAACAACATGAAACATTCATAATCGGTTGGATGTTTGTCTATTAAAGCGTGAAAGAAATTCGACATATCATTACTGCAGAAAAGGCCTTTTATGACCATTGAAATGAACATTTTACTGTAATTTTGAGAGCAACGTCTATGTTATCGACATAATAAATTAGAAGATTTAATGGTGATTGCGAAACCGCCGTGATAAGTGACTTTTTATGGCAGTATTTAGGTACAGCTACTGTGAAAAGTCCTCAAATCAACACGTTTTGGACTCAACTTTAAACAACAATGAATATGAATTTAAATGTAGGGATGGTAGAGCCATGTCGCATAGGCTGTTTGAGAAGAAGAATCCTCCCATGCTCAAGTTTATTAAGCAAATGGCCCGTAGCAAAAGCCCTTGAACAGATGCCATTCCGCAAGATTGTGACGAGGAGTGCATGAGGACTTGAGTTGAGTGTCATTTCTTACACATGGACATGAAATGACCAAAATGTCCACGTTTAACCTTTGACTAGAGTTGTATTATACTCCTCCGGTTTTTAATATAGGACTCAATTATTGAGTTGGTTTTTGTTCTAAATATAAGACCTATTTCTCATATTTATCAATTTTCTGTAAATTACCCTTATGGATACTCCATCAACCATAATCAAGTCGAAGAAGAAAAGAAGATATTAAGAAAGATAATTATGGTATTTTAGGAAAAACGTGTCACATTTCTTATAATTAACTAATTTACCTAACTTTCTTAATCTAATCAAATTAATTAAATGGGTCTTATATTAAGGACCGGAGGAGTATTTGATATTCTTGTATTCTTAATGATCCTGTTTGGTACGAAACATTGAAAATGTGAAATAGGTACTGAGATTGCAACTAAGAAAAATCATTAAAAAGTATTTAGCATGAATAATTATTTATTATATGAGATTAGACAAATTCATGAAGGTGGCATTGCGAAATATCATTTTTTTTCCTATGGTATTTGCCAACCCCACATATATGAGTTTGTCTAATCTCATATAACAAGCAATCTCTCATACTAAACTCTTTTTTAATAGATTTTCTCAATTCTAATTACAATCTCTATGTCTTTTTTTAATGCTTCGCATTAAATGAGACTAATGTTCTTCCATTCCACATATATCAAATCATGGCTTCCATGGGCATTGTCCGGTATATATATGCATTAACAAATTTAGTCTCATATATATTTACTCCATCTTAATTACTATGAATAATCTGCGGGAAAAAAAAAACCAACCAGAACTCGTTTAAATATTACTTCCTGCAGTATTTATGACATCATTTTAAATAAATTATGTTATTTAAAAAATAGTTAAAATTAGATCAAAGTAATAAATATGTGAAAGTTGAATTTTTTTTCGAAGTATATCCATATCTAACAAAGGAGCAGATAAGAAAGGAAAATACTAGTAATAAAATAAAGAATAAAAAAGGATGTAGCATGAGAAAAAGATGGGAGAGAAAATAAAAAAATTAATTAAGAAAAAATTGGTAAAAATAAATTTAATGTTCAAGCACTTCTAAGCAGATCTTATAAAAAGGATGGGAGGGAATTATTTAATACTTTTTGCTAGAAAATAAAGTAATTCAATAAAATTTGATCCACGCATAAACGAAAGTGATATAAGTCAGTAAAAGAAAGTGAACCAAACTGAGAATATTATTTATCCATTCATTCTGAAAATAATACAGTGTAATAATGCCTTCGAACCCAGGAGACAGGCGGAAACACTTACCACTATACTACTACGACTTGGAGATCATTTGAGCGCCTGTTAATAATTAATTCGTTCCTTCAACATGACCCTGCACACTTAGTAACTGTATTATATTGCTCCATATTAGTTCCACCATTATGGTGCCTTTTCTTCAGGACCATCACCTCCCTATTTGAATTGGGAACTACATATTCTCAACTACTACCTCCGGTCCTAATTATAAGAGCCAGTTGACCAATTTGAGGAGATTAAGGAAATAAGTTGAGTTAGTTATTTGTCATAAATAGGTGTTGTCTTTCCTAAAATATCCTTACTAATCAAGTGTATTGACTAGAACTCTTGTTATTAGAAGGGCTACTTTGAAGAAAAATGGTATGAATATGAGAGACAAAGTGGATTGGGGTCTTATATTTAGGACCAAAATAAAAGTCAAACAGGATCTTATATTAAGGATCAGAGGTGGTACGTACAAAGCAAAAGCAAAATTATAAATATTGACGGCCTCCATTTCTTCTGTTGATCGTTCGATTCTTTCTCTAACTTCTGGCTTGATGAACCTGTGGCCTCTGAACTGAATATATATCCCATAAACTCAATAATGAACCCTAGAGGTGGGTGAAGAAAATAAACATGCACTCCTCCGATCCTTAATATAAGGTCTATTTAATTAATTTGATTAGATTAAGGAAGTTAGATAAGCTAGTTAATTATAAAAAATATGACATGTTTTTTCTAAAATACCATAATCATCTTTCTTAATATCCTCCCTCCCTCACTTACTTGATTATGGTTGAGAGAGTATCTATAAGGGTAATTTAGAAAAAATTGATAAATATGAGAAATAGGTCTTATATTTAAAACTAAAATTAACTTAACAATCAGGTATTATATTAAATACCGGAGGAGCACCTTTGAATCCGAATCGGTGATTGTTTTACCCACACAAAACCGAATGATAGAAGTTCAGCGGCCTCTTCGGGTATGTGCAGGGAAATATAGACGTAGCTTAAGAGGGATTTCATCTGTGGGTCAACGTACGGAAGAGTAGAAGAGTCCTAATTTGTCAACGATCTTATATCTATTAAGTTGAATTATCCCATCAAATCTTGACATGTGTGTTTTTTATTATTAATAATGGTCTAAACGGAATTTTGATATTTTATCAATGTGAATTTTTATTATTAAGAAAGTTACATACGCTAAAATTTGTTAGGAGAATTAAACATAAAGAATATAAGCTAATGATCCTAAGTCTTTTTCTTTTATTTAATTATTTATTTGATGTATTTTGTAAACCAACACGTCTGAATTATCTTGAGCTCTATTGTTATTTTAAGATACTTATTGTTTT